AGATGAAACAAGTCGAAGTGACATTCGCCTCCGATCTTCGGGCGTGTACAAATAGGGAGGATGCAATTGCGGAACATTTTGCTGCCAATTCGGAACCACACGCCCCCAACGACCACACTAAATGCTCTCCGTTTTTTTTTTCCTTGGATTTGTTTTCCGTGCTGAGCACCAATGCTACCCACACCTGAACCCTACCTATCGACGCATGAACTCATGAACCGGGGACCTACGGCTTCACTTCCCTTCCGAAGGAAGGCGTGATCAGAGATGTTATGCCTCAGAGCATCCCAGTGGCGCCGGCTGGGATTGTACCCAGGTAATTACGCTTACCTGAGTGAGAGGTATTTACGTTTACCACTACACCACCGGTGCCGCTGCTCTCCAGAGTTGTTATCCTGTAACCAAACTTTGAAGCAGGGGATACTCTATATAAATTCTATTCTAACTCTTTTCTGAAATGACTTCTAACTTTTCAGGGCCACCAATGTTACAGAGTACGTCCCTGTCGCTTCAGAGCGTAGACGACATCCATGGCTGTGACAGTTTTGCGCTTGGCGTGTTCAGTACAAGTGACGGCATCACGGATCATAATTTCTAGGAACACCTTCAGCACACCTCGGGTGCCAGACGACGGATGGCAGGCCATGGATGTTATCACGCAGAATTTCCCAATATCGACAAAGCTGCATCATCATGACTGTATGTAGCCAATGGGAAGCGAGAAAATATGGTACCGGCAGAGCTGGTTGACTATATAACAGGATGCTAACTATAGTTTCGATTCACCCGTTCAACGACAAACATCAAGCAACAATGACTGGTCGTGGCAAGGGAGACAAAGCTCTTGGAAAAGAAGGCACCAAGCGTCATCAGAAGGTTCTACGTGTTAACACATCCAGGGTATTACCAAGCCTGCCATCCGTCGTCTGGCTCGACGTGGTGGTTTGAAGCGTATTTCCGGTTATATCTACGAAGAAAACTGAGGTGTACTGAATGTGTTCCTAGAAAAATCCGTGATGCCGTCACCTACACTGAACACGCCAAGCGCAAAACCGTCACGGCCATGGATGTCGTCAATACTCTGCAAACAACGTAAGCAACGTAACAAAACGGCCCTTTTTAGGGCCACCAAGTTCTTTTCAGAAAAGAGTTAGAATAGAATTTATATAGAGTAACCCATGATTCACCCATTCAATTTGTCACTAAATACATCAAAATGATACAAAAATCAAATAATTTGTTAGGGAAATAAATTATGTTCTATCGGTGGGTTAAATTTATTCCGTTTCACTTTCATAAACTGAGAAACCCTCATCGTTGCATTCTCCTGCTGCGCGACATCTTCGAAATCGTCCGAACCGTTAAATAATACAGAGTACATATAGTATAGACTTAAAGTACAGAGAGTACAAAAGGAGAGGATCCAGTGTCGCTACTTGATAGCAAACTACTCATGATGGGAGGAGTCTGTGTACTTTACCGGCGTGTTCAAAAAGAAAGGCAATCAAAATTTCATTTGTTACATGCATGAGGCATGAAGCAAAAAGTGTGTTGGTGAGTTCTTTGACATGAATGTTCCCGAAAAGTTCAGTATTTTGTTATAAGCAAATGCAAAACAAGCAAATTTATTGACAGATTTGGGCAAATTTTGACCTGTTTCATGCTTCTGGAAGGTATGCTGGTCACAAATGCCAAACTGATTCCCTGTGCAAGTGATATGTATAAACGCGAATAACCACGAGGTCCAGTGATTATAGCAAAGCTTGCCATAAAGAAACCATCACAGTTCAGGGCCACCACAACTTTCTACAAAAGAGTTGACTTATGAAATTCACTTAATTTCAAAATAATATCCGAAGCAACAAACTAGATAATCGAACAAAAATTTCGTAGTCCTACCTCAACAATGCGGTCGTGTCTTGTACACCACCCTCCAACTTTTTTGTCCTACGGATAAACGTAGAAAAAGGCGTTTCGCTAGGAGCGCTTCTTTTGTTTTGAGAACAATAAGCGTAAATATGCATACAATGCGTTCTAATTGGATTTCTGTTGTAGGTAGGTAATGAACTAACGCATCGAAAAAAAAAACTATTATTGATTCGCGCGTAGTGAAATCATTGATATTATGAATCTTTTCTGATCGATAGAACGAAAATGGGTGATTACGACAAAGTAGCGCCAACAATCAATACGAAATTATCGGTTTGAAATTGGCTCACTACTTGACTAGCCTATTGGTCCCAAGCAAATCGATTAACGTACCCCATTCTAGTCAAAATTCTAGTACTACACAATGTTTGTTTTGATTCGCTATGAAAGTTTGTCAGATAAAATGAGGGGTTAGTGGACATTCCTATGTTTCGAGGGGTGAATCGATTAGCTTGGGACCGAAGATAGTACCAGCGCTGAGCGAAAAAGTAGAGCTCGTTTCTTCGGGACCTTGTGACTATGGCATGACCAGACACTCCCGGGTAACTAGCTCAGTAGCATGAGACCCCTGAACTGTGTCGCAGGGCCGGCATGTTACTGGGTATTCGGAGGGGCTACGCGGACAAAGTATGAAACACAGGAATATTCACATTTTCTAAAACATTTATTTGCCCTTTTCTGTGGCGTGTGGGTGTGGGTTTTCACATATATGTGGCGTGTATGCGAGAGTTTATGAACAGTACGGTACTCACTGTTGCAGCAGATTCTCCTTCGGCATCGCGACGCTGGCGTTGGTCCACACGGCTGCTCCTGCACTACCGTGTGGCCGGAAACTTGCGGCGCGGGCTGCAGACAGTGTTGTTGCCGCTTTGGGAGAATGGCGGATCTGGTGGCGTTCATCAGCCACATACGGCTCAGCAGGCGTTGCTGGCTCGTTTGGCTGGCAGGCGTCTTCCGTCGTTGACGGCATCGGCTGACCGTGGCATGGCCACCTTGGTCGAGCCGAGACGGGACCCTCCTTGGCAATTAAGGCCACCGGCCTGAGGGAATCGTCCCTGACGGACGATCGAGGATCATTTACTATTAGGCTCGGAAGCCATCTTGACTTCCGAGCCGAGCCGTGTAAAACCGTTTTGCTTACGGTACGAGGTGTACAAAATGTACAAAAGCACAAGAAGTCCTGAACGGAGGTAGGCTTTCCAGCCCAAACCCCCACAAGGGGGGGGGGGGGAGTTTATTGTATATGCACTACACTTCACGATACCGGTCTACACGGACGCCTGATTACTTCTGACAATTAGAAGGTTATTTCTTTTAGAACATGGTCACTCGCATGCCTTTTGCCGATCATTCTCCATTTTTAGCTACGATTGTCCTCCCTTTAGTATCGTTCGAGTGTTTTTGCAGCGGTACTAACCCTCTCGCTGCTGTGTGTTGCCTTCTGTCGTTTAAATTAAAATACGTGAATTTTCCAAACAACAACAACTCATACAAACAAAAATCCACGGATTGTAACCAACTGGTTACACTTTCCACTACCCCGATGCAAAATGTAAAAGCACGAAGTGATTTTGCATTTTTTTTTTTTCAAAACCATCTTTGGCTCAAACGGTGTCATGGAAGTGCAACCGCATCTCAAACAATCAAAACAAACTATTTACAATCTACTTGAAAACGCGAAATCATAATCATACTATGTACATACAAATTAAAATAATAAATTAAAATCAAATTTTAAAATAATAATAAAAACGTGCACTACTCATTTATTTTACACTAATAAATTACAAAAATCATCCCGAATCATGGGTAAACATTCATATAAACATATTTACAATGCTGCAGCAAAACAATTTTACAACCCTATTTCTAATATTTACATAATTTACATTTAGATCACTTTCGATCTTTCGCATTGGTAGTCCCCCTTGCGCAGGCGGGATTTACCGGCGGGTGAACTGTCATTTGATCGATTAGTCGATCAAGCGATCAGTCACCGATGACAGGTTGTCATACGGCATCAATGTGTAAATAAACATCTGTCAAAGCATATCGCCATGATCAATGTTTATGTTTCGTGTTATTTATGTTGTGTTGTGTATTTTATTTCGTTGAAATTGGCCAAATTTCAATCGAAATGAGGTAAGTAAATAAAGATACCGACTAAGCATATCGACATTTATGCTTCCTGTTTTTCTTGTAGGTGTATGTGTGTATAAAAGTGGATTGGAGCTCCAGTGGGTGGGTTGTTTTGCTGCCAGTGCCAAAATCTGCCTGGGGAAGATCTGCCTGCAGAAAACCCATAAAATCCCGGGATTACCGTGCTAGCCATCTTGTATCCACAAGATGCACTGCAGGTGAGTAAAGTGCGCACAATTCAGTGAATTAAAACAAATTGCCGATCGTTCAAATTGATCGATGCATAAAATGGTGAACAAAAGTTGACAAGTGGGTATTTTCTGCAGTCTTACCGTAACAAGTGCAAAGAAAGAGGGCAATACATGCAATTCCTCGATCTTTCACTGTTGTTGCTGGTACGAAAATCCCTTGTTCCATCAACAGGAACAATCAATTATGATCCGGTGATCCATAATTGATTTAAATGGAGTGTTGAACTCCTTAATCAATTGAAAGCACAAATAAATTTTCTCTTGAAAATTTTAAAACAACTTTGCAAGTGACTAACGATTACCTCCTTATTTCCATTTTAGGACAATCGATCCCTAGGCCAGTGGATCTGACGAAAGCGGTGGTATTTGGGCAGGATATATGTATCGAGGTTCCGAGGACATAACTAGATGACTCCTCGCCAACCTGTGCAGCCTATTCCCGGTTACCTGCCTCATCATTCCACCTTTATGTACCAGGGAAAATGATTGTAAGCTTCCTAAAAATAAAATAAAGTGGCTTCATTATCTTTTCAAGCGCCGCACGACCCTTCTGGTTTGGGCAAAAGTACGAAATAGTTCATGAAAAAGAAAAGTCTAGTCAATGTCAAACCTTTTGTGAATGGTAAGTATGAGTGTGCTGCTTTTTACATAATTATTACTACATTTATATCACAGGTGAGTATGTACGGTAAGTATAGTACAGGTAGGATGATTATGATTTTTAAAATATAAATTTGGACGAACACGAACAAGTTAAAATCGTTTGAACTAATTTTGGTTTGTGTCCTCTCGTTCAGGACCTCTTTTGATTATGCAAAATATTCAAACTTCCAAACATTTCATCGGTTAAGTTTCCAGTGTGCGGTTTTAGACATTCGTGCTAAGCACGGATCCCTGCCACCTCCCGTTGGAAAATCCGTAGATTTTCATACTTTAAGCGATCCTCCGAATACCTTTCACGATTTTACGTCGGTCGCCAATTGTGACTATGGCATGACCAGACACTCCCGGGTAACTAAGGCCACCGGCCTGAGGGAATCGTCCCTGACGGACGATCGAGGATCATTTACTATTAGGCTCGGAAGCCATCTTGACTTCCGAGCCGAGCCGTGTAAAACCGTTTTGCTTACGGTACGAGGTGTACAAAATGTACAAAAGCACAAGAAGTCCTGAACGGAGGTAGGCTTTCCAGCCCAAACCCCCACAAGGGGGGGGGGGGGGGAGTTTATTGTATATGCACTACACTTCACGATACCGGTCTACACGGACGCCTGATTACTTCTGACAATTAGAAGGTTATTTCTTTTAGAACATGGTCACTCGCATGCCTTTTGCCGATCATTCTCCATTTTTAGCTACGATTGTCCTCCCTTTAGTATCGTTCGAGTGTTTTTGCAGCGGTACTAACCCTCTCGCTGCTGTGTGTTGCCTTCTGTCGTTTAAATTAAAATACGTGAATTTTCCAAACAACAACAACTCATACAAACAAAAATCCACGGATTGTAACCAACTGGTTACAACCTACTAGTCCTAGACCTCTATGGTAGCGCACTACCCTACCCGAGCAGAAGAAAATAACTGATGAATAACATACTCATGTATGCTATACAGCATAACTGAATACCTTAATAAAGTATTGACGAGCCTGACATAAGAGGTAAAATACCAAAAATAATAACTTAGAAATGTTCTTCGAATACCAATATAATCACTTGTTTTGTTATTATAATAACTGCCGAATAATCAATGCCATTTATCGTTAGAATAACATATTTTGGTATCCTGAAGGTCTTCAATACTTAACCAATAACTCCATAAGGTGTTTTGTATAATACCACGTTTTGTTATTTTTTTTGTTAGTTAAAAGCCCACAAAAATACCAAATTAAGCATTTATTTTGTACCTGTTCAGCACCAAAATAAACCTTTCATCTATGAATTTAAAAAAAAAAGTTTATTTGTAAAAACTTAACATTCTTACATTCATTTTTGTAAAAAATCATCGTTTTGGTCCTGTATGATAAAACGAAACATAACACATTTACATGAAATTTAAAAGAAATTCATTGAAACGAATTAATAATACCGGATTCTCCGCTCTTCAGCGATCGACAGATTTGAGTGCTGGATTGTTAGCCAGGGTCCGAGTAATGTGAGGGATTGCTTTCTTTGACAGATCGTTCGCGACACCGGGTGGGTCTTGTAAAAGCTGCCGTCGTTCGCGCAGACGATCTGTAAACAATTAAGCTTTATTACAACTTCCTAAAGGTATCTTTTGTTTACATACCTACGATGTACTGCACTTTCTGTGGATCCAACTTTGTGGGAAGATCGTCTACAACTGTCGACGTTGACGATGGTGCTGGTTCTGATGAGGATGATGAAGCTGGTGCTACTGAGGATGATGCTGCTTTTGACGACGATGCTACTGACGACGCTGAAGTTTCTTCCACACTTGCGTCAGTGCGTTTCTTCTTTCCGCTCGGATTATTTGATCTGCGGCCCATTACTGTGGCGTGACCAACTCCATCAGGCCACAGCATCATCACAAGCTCCTTGACAAATAAGTAATCACTTTTGTTAGCAGCTTGTGATGTTCGCAGCAGCCACTCAGAAGATGGATAACCATCAACTGCTGTAAAAACCAACAAACGATTGTTGTCCTCAACCATTTTATGTTGGAGCTTGAAATTAAGGGATGACAGCTGCGTATTCTCAGCTTTAAGCTTCGCATTATCCTCCTTTAACTGCGAATTTTGTTCTTGTAGTTTTTCGATCTGAGCGTTACATTCTTTGTGGAGATTTGAATCATCGTTGATGTTAGCAGCAGTTTGACTTGCTTGAGAATGAGCAATGTCTGCATGACGAACCGTATCGAGATTCACCTGCAGTGGATCAACTGATTCAATATCAGTGGTAACTTGTGTTGCAGTCTCCTCAAAAATGTTCGTCTTCATGTCACCGAGTTCAGGATGCTCAAATACTGCCTCAAATATCGAAGTGCTCAAGTCCATAGGCTAAAAATAATAGGTTATGTGTAAATCTTCGTGGATTTGAACAAAACACTTGAAAAACCTACCTCATCTGAAACTTTTATCGATTTTTCCTTGAGTTTGGTTGACGTACCGGCAGTACCGGAAGTACCAGGCAGCGGTTCGATTGTTTGCTGTAAATATTTTAAAGTTACTTTTCATTGCAAGCAATTTGAGGTTATGGAAAGCGCGTGTTGGGATTCGTTTTAAAATCGTCTTTACCTCGATTATCTTCCGCTGTTTTTTGGTCGAAGGACCAGGCTGGGGATCGATTGTTTGCTGAAATAAGATTGAAAAAATATATTAAAATTAAGCTAAAAATCTCCATTTATGACAAATTTAATGCAAACGATGCATTATGGCAGAACAGAATATTTGAGGTTACGTGCAGATGTAATGATTGTCTCAAAAACTTTCCTTTGAGATATTTTGTTATAAATACTTACATTTTCCAGGACACACATGTTTGCAGCATTGGCTGCTTTTTGCACTTGTTTTTTGTTGACAGTTTTCCTAGTTTTTGCCATTTTTTTGAAGATTTTCAACACAGCGTAATAGAAAGAAGGATGAGATCAAACGCGTAAATAAGTGAAAGCAAAGATAGTGGTTCATCAGCACAATTGAGGTTGTCACATTGAAATGAATGCACTGAAGAAAATTTTCACGATAAGAAAAAAGTACTCGCGAGCGGGTTAACCTTACCTAATTTGATAGATGATTGTGGTAGGTTAACCAAACAGTGAAGGTGAAGAGAGGGTGTTGGGTAAGAACGGGGTGGTACGTCCTTGCCCCGCACTCTCTTTTCAGCTTAACTTTTTGGTAAACAAACCACCCTTATTTGTCAAGTTAAGTGAGGTTCACCCAATCGTGCACTTCCTAATATACGATTACCATACATGGACCATACCAAACATAGTGCAATCATTACACATAAAGTTGGGGTGGTAACCAGAATGGGTTGTTAAGCACTTCTTATGGTTATTGCAAAATATGAAAAAAATATCTGCACGTTTGTTATAAACTACCCACATTTAAGGCGATTGAGTAAACTCTATGGTATTCTCTGAAAAACATTTTCAAATACTTTCTGATTTATTTGGAGTAATTGAAATATGTTTGTCAATAATTGATTACAACTTATCATAGAAATCGTTATCATAATAATACTTTCAGCGAAAAACAAAAAAAAAATAAACAAGGCCAATCTCAGGTATGCATCCACAGCATGTTAAATTCGCTTTTGTTTTCAGTGTACCTATATTGTGAACGTAGACCACCTATTTAAGAAAAAAACTACATTCCATTCAACTGTCATCACCGATATGTGGTGTACACGCTATTTTTGGACTACTCAGTGACTGGGTATATCGCACTCATTTTTGCATGCTGTATGGAGTTGTCAAAAAATGAGTAGACTGGTTTTACTGCAATGAGTTGGATCTACCCAGATTGTGGGTAAATGGTTCTGATATCAATTTTTCCTAAGTTCAAAATGGCGCACTTTGAACGGGCGATCTTTGCGCAGTGAGTTTAAAATTAGTTTTTAGAAGTGAAACAGTGAAAATGGAGCAGCTACGTAATAAAATGGATGGTGAAAGCTATCAGTAGCTAGTTGGTTACGTATACAACTCTAACAAATAGTTCTTTGGTATCAATAAATACAGAATTATCATTTTCACAATATTTTATTTAATATTCTTCCTGGACGAAACCAATTACATACATATAAAGCATTCATGGGGCATTCATTCGTTTCTACCGATATTGGTAAGGTTTACTCAGTTGATAAATGTCATAATCTGAGTAACCGTTACCCAGTTTCCTCCATAGGCTCGTTTACTCAAATTTGAGTAAAATCATGTTTACTCATTTTTAGCTAACTTCCCTTTTGGATGGACTGAGTGATTTTCGACTCAAAAATGAGTAGCCACAAAATAGCGTGTATATATAGACGAGTGCACGGATGGATTTAAGTTCACTCACTCGACAAAAAGTGACACAACAGCGGGGCCCTGTTTACTAAAAATTAACACATGAATAATACTCACGTAACATTTGAAACGGGTCTATCAACTTATGTACACAAAACTTGTTAAGCCTTTTTCGCGCGAACCGAATACGCTCACGCAAGCTAACAACACCATCGGGCAAATGAAATTCTTCCCTTTCCGATAGTGCTCTTGGTTTCGTGGGCGTACTTCGGTTCTCGTGAAAACGACCTAGCAAATTATTTACAAAAGTTGATAGGCCCTTTTCAAATATTCTATAGGTGTGACAGAAAGAAACTAGTCGATGCTTTCATTCTTACAGTGTTCTTATGCATAACTCGACGTGACGTCATGTCGTATCATGCATAACAACACCGTGAGAGCGGAATTGTCGATCAGTTTCCTTCTGCCTCACCTATATATACCGCACATCGTGTCAACACTGCATGTTGTTTGTAGGAGTTGTTATTTTTAAAAAGGCAGTCAGTTTTTATAAAAAATATTCAACGTTTTTTGCAAAAACTAAATTATGAAACCACGGAGAAGACGGAATTATTATCTATCACCGTCTAATGATGGGCGGAAGTACGAAAAAAGGTAATTGAATATATGATCACTGTAAATGCTTGCAAAACTTAAAGCTATGTGTTATTAAAGGTTAAAATTAACGTTCATCATCGGACCCAGGACACATCAAATGACGTGGATACCATCGTGAACGCAATGTCAAGCTGCAGTGCTGATTATCGAAGAAAATTAAACAATTCCTGTGTGGAAGCAGATGATGATTCGCATGAAAATATCACAACACCTGTGGCTCATAATCCACCAAGCCAATTCGCAGAAGACGTGACAGACCTACCAGAAGACCTTTCCGTTCAACATGCTCAAGATCGAGAGAGTGTACAAGTTACAGTACCTGCGCTCGTTCCACAAGAAACATTGTCAAGTCAGCAAAACATTCTACACGAAGAGCAAAGGCAACTCAACGCGGATCAAAATCGATCGACCAGTTGGAATCATTTTTTCAAGGTTTAAATTTACCATATTAAGAAAAAAGTATTTACTACTACTTTCACTACTTTCAGATATTCTCTGAAAATCATTCCAAACAATTTCAAATCCATTCTGATTTACTCACGGTTGAGATTCTATTTATGTTACTGAATTATTATATTCGACATCGCCTTACACAGGAAGCTTTGGAAGATTTGTTGCGGATGATGAATATAATTACAGGCACTAAAACTTTCCCAGAATCATTTCAAACTTTTTCAAGTTTATTCGATGCGTATTCGTGTACACCAGTCAGAATCTATTTCTGCATCAATTGTCAATATGATTATGGCGCTAATCAGCCGGAATCAGCTGTAACATGTCCTATCTGTGAATCTCCTGAAAATGATTTTTTTCTTATTACTTCAATTGAACCTCAATTAAGGGAAACATTTGAAAAATATCAACTTGAAATCGAACAATACACAAAGGTCATCGATCGTGATGGAATCGCTGATGTGAACCGTGGAATGATTGCGCGTCGTTTATTGCAGAATGAACCAGGAAAATACCTTACGTTAAGTATTAATACCGATGGAGCCGCACCCTTCCGATCTACTACCAGGAAACCTCTGTATCCTATTTTCGTTACGTTGAACAATTTGCCTCCAGCAATTCGGTTCCAAAAGAACAATCTAATGGTGGCAGGTTTGTGGTTGTCCAAAGGAGAGCCTAACCCAAATTTATTATTCAAATATCTTTGCATTGAGCTGCGAAAACTGCAAGAAGGAATACTAATTGGAGGCGAAAGATACAAAGTTGTTCTTTTACAAAACTGTTTAGATTCAGTAGCTCGTTGTAAAGTGCAGTGCAGCAAGCAATTTAATGGAGAGCATGGTTGCACTTTGTGTCTTCACCCAGGAGAAACTAGAAGCACCCGCAATGGACGATGTTACCCTCAAAAGGCTTCGAAAATGCGTGAAAACATAATCACTCGAAAACAAATGGATGAAGTTAATAGCACAGGACAGGAATCATATGGAATCATGGGGAAATCCGTGTTTACGTATATTGAGAATTTTGACATCATAGCAGGATATCCAGTTGATTACATGCACGCCGTGGATTTGGGGGTAATTAAGCAGATAATAGCATTGTACACCGAGACTGAAAATCACAAGCAGGATTATTACATTGGGCGACAAATCCAAGTGGTTAACGAACGAATGCAAAGTTTCCGACCTCCTAGCAGTTTTCCAAGAAACCCGAGACCATTGGATGAACAAAAACGGTATAAAGCGAATGAATGGGAGGCTTTTTTGCTGCATTATGTTTATCCGTCACTATATGGAATATTGAAACAACCGTTTCTGGATCACCTAATAGAGCTCTCATCTGTAGTTTTTCTATTGCTAGATCCCAATCTAGCTCAATCAACAATTGATGCATGTGAGAAACGTATTGATGAATTTGTTGGACAATTTGAAGCACATTTTGGAAGAGATAACATGACATATAACATTCATTTGCTAACGCATCTTGGATATACGGCTCGTAACACAGGTGCATTATACAATAGCTCGCTCTTTTCATACGAATCAGGTAAAATTATTTATGAGTTTTTCTAGTAAAAATTTGTATAAAGGAAAACTTGTTTCCAGGCAATGGAATGTTGTTGAACTTTAGGAGCGGTAACAACAAACCAATTATACAAATTGAACGAAAATATCGTCTCAACAGGTTGGTTCACATGACTCACGCACCAAAGGATTCTATTATTTACCCTTGGGTTCAATCACTCTGGAAAAAAAACCATCCATCGGTAAAGTTTGATAAACGGTTTTTGTTTTCTAGTGATTTCAATGTAACATTCGAAGATGGAATTTCGGAATCAGAATTTAGCACCCAGAGCAAAATATTTTTCAATGGATTGAGCTTTTGTACCAAATTAACATGCCAAAACTTTCGATACGATGATTCTTGGATTTGGAAAAATGGATATTTCTATAACATTCATAGCATTCTCAGTGACAAGCATGAACAGCCTTATTTTGTAGGAATACAACTTATAGTTGAACCAGTTTCTGATAATTTGTACATATATAATGAAAGTGACAACTTAAGGATAATTAAGGTTGATAAATCAATCCGTCAGTGCATAAATATGATAATTATACATGAATGTAAGGAAATCAAATTTATTTCAAAATGTAAAGTAATCATTCAGGTTGATTAACACAATTTGTTTATGATATTTAAAAAAAAATCAGCAGAACTTTTATCATCATATGAATGAAAATAAAACACATTGTAAGTAAATGTTAATAATTTCTTATGTCAACTTATACAATATAAAACGTTTGATTTGCAACAAGCTTTTTACGAACTCCAAAATACTGAAATATCACGTAGCTTATTGAGTTATTCGTTTGGTGATTTACAAAACACCTCAATAACTGAGTAATAGCAAAATAAGGTTTAATAACTCATGTAGGTATTCGTAGGTTATTTGATGCATTTAAGTCGTAACTAATCAATACCAAAATATGGTATCATACCTGATTATGGTATTCAAATGTTATCGGTTTGTTATGGTTTCGTGCTCGGGTACTGCTCGAAAAAGTCCTCGCTTACCACATTTCGAACACGTTTTGTTCCATGCAAGGCACATTTGATTTGATTCGTGCGCACGACGACAGAATTTACAAACAACTTGAACACGTTGCACATTGTCGATACTGGCTGTTACAGGCTTAACTTGCCCGGACATCTGATCACTTGTCTAACGAGTAGCCACGAACGCATTGATTTGCTTACTCACCTTCTCCAATATCGAATCCGACTACTGAAGTAGCTTTCCACGCAACTGTGCAACATTTGGTCTATGACGACAATCCCAGAGCTCTCAGAATGCGTCTTACCGAAATTGCATTTGCATACATCTGAGCACGCATCAAGTAAAAACATACCTTCCACTATGCTCGGTATCAACAAGGGTACCGTTTCAAATCCAATGGAATCTGGCAGTCGAAATCCGATGAAAATCCGTCCTCGAAGCCAATTTGTGATGGTCAAATAAAACACGCGCATCCAGATCAGTTGTTAACTGTGTATCTATGTTTATGCTCTTCTTCCGATGACGTCTCTTTGTACATGGGTTACAGATTAATGGCCAGACGTATCTCCACCATAACTAATCATCATTGGAGGATTATTCACGAATGAATTTCTCTTTAAATACCATTTCTAGGCAATTCGTCCGATTACGTGAGTACAATACTCTGTCCAACCCGGACTGCACTGTGATACGAACTGAGATCGGAAATGCTCTGGATTGCAACGAGGAGAAAATTGACGCACGTTTCAAGTCAATTAAAGTACATCCAGAATACGATCCTCGCGACACTCAGCAGTACAACGATATCGGGTTGATCGAACTAGATCGAGCCGTTGAGTATTCGGACTTTCTTCAACCGATTTGCCTACCAAAGGCTGGATTGCGCGTTGGCTTAGCGGAGCGAAAGTTCTTCCAAGTTTGTGGATGGGGTAGAACGAACTTTTGTAAGTACCTATTTCCGTCTTGCTTCTGGAAGGATGGAAATGCCTCATTTATGTACTTCCTTACAGTTAATAAGAAGGTGGGAAGCAAAAGCCCCATCAAGATGAAAGCTAGTTTGCCGTTCGTCAAAGCGGAAGATTGCATGATGGCCTACGAATCTCAGCAGCTAGATTTGGGACCAGGACAGATTTGTGCGGGCGGACGGCGAGGTCAAGATTCATGCGCCGGAGATAGCGGTTCACCGCTGATGTTCTTCGATCAAGTCAAAGAAATGTGGGTCGTTAGCGGAATCGTGAGTAAAGGGCCCGCTTCCTGTGGGACGTACAACAAGCCTGGCATCTACACGAATGTGCGGTATTACCTCCCGTGGATTCTACGGAATGCTGACCTTTGAAGGAATCGTTTCGGATATGATTAACAGTTGAAATCATTTGCACATTTTGTTGCTAAGAAATTGATTATATTAAATGCATCTAAATATGTGCATTTGTTTTAATCCACTGTACGTATTCCTTAACGTTGGTGTATATTCCAGGTTTACCAGCAGTTCCACAATTTTGCGGTCCCATACTTACCAGTCCGCTTAGCACCCAAGCTTTTATATTTTTATCGAAGGACATCAACGGGGATCCACTGTCTCCTGAACAAGTATCTCGTGCTTTGTGACCACCAGCACAGATCTGCCCGTTGATAAGTTGAAGCCTTTGTGGTTGGTAGATTTCGGAACATTTTCCATGGTCAAAGTACGGTAGCGATGCCTTCAGCTTAATCGGACTTGGAATTTTATCTTCACGCCCTTCACTGAAGAAATTCGTTCGACCCCAGCCACAGACAATGAACTTCTTACCCAAGGTACTGCTTCCAGGTTCTGGCAGACATATGTGACGAATGAAGACACTAAGCTCGAGAGGGCGCTCTAACTGCACCAGCCCGATGTCGTGATGTTGACTAACGGAACCCAAAACATAGTCCGGATGAACGATCACACGCCTTGGCTTCACATCAATTATTCCATCTGTACAATCGGCATACATCCCTTCAACTGTACAGTCGGGATCATTTTTTAGATCATATTCACCTACACGAACAAATTTTCTGTGCAACAAAAACAATGATTAGCTTATGCCCACCCACTCACCATCATCTCAATACACTTACAAGTTTCCCTTCTTTTGAATAATCGGTCCCACTAAACAGTGCGCTGCAGTGACGACAAACGACTGACTGATTAACGCCCCTCCGCATCCGGGTACAACCGGATTCATTGCCTTCTCGTAGATCAAAAGTGCCATCCACGGAAATTCGTCAATTTCTGTTATTTGCCCATGATTGACCAGCATGCCAAAGTCCTGCTGTCCACACGGCATCCCCTGACTACCAACTCTGTTCTTAATACTTAAAGGATTTTGTTTTACTCTTGTTATTACGTTCGTCATATCGATCCAAGGATTACTGTACAATCCTCCATCCCGCGGACAGCACACCTTTCCCTCTTCCTCACCAGTACACTGCACCTGTTTCACGAAACTCAACCGACTCATGTTGCCAATACTGGTGACATCGTTTATCTGCCGGTATGCTGTGCAATCGACAGGATCCTGGCATAGTCCCTGGATGGACTCGTTTGGTATGTGACAGGTAGTCACAACGTCCCAAACTGGAGGAGACTGTAGGGTACAGACTGCAAAAGCCGCACAAACTATCAACCGAATGGTTAATTTCTGCATCTTGACTGACCGACGTTCGAAAGAAGACTGCCAATCCCAACTGTACGAACATAATTGTTAAGTCTATCTCCAGGCAGGAAGAGCGTTATCACGTAGTTGCTTACAAACAAAACTCACCTTACGGCGCACTCTAAGGGAATTCCATCATTTCAGGAGTTCTCTAGACCAGCGATGCCACAAATACAGATTTTGGTTCACGAAAAAAGCAGGCACCCCCTTACTTATGGTACTACAACAAGTTTGTTAGCTCAATAACTAATTCCAAACATTAACTATTTTTTTAGCTAGACAATTTTCTTCAATACCTTACGGTATCAACTGTTATTGTGTTCAAAAAGCAGCATTTGTGGCAACGCTGCCCTTTTATGGTTGAATTACACTCTCTCTCTGTCTCTCACTCATTACGCTCAAAGAGAAATCATGCACATTTGACACAAATACCGACTCATCCGCACATAAAAGCTGTCGTGTTAGATGATATATTATCGTTTCTAATGCTAATAGCACATAGCATCAAATACCAACTTAGCGAGGTAGTGGAAACATGAATGGAGAAATTAAATCTAACCATGTAAATCCCCGATGCATCTTTCGGTGGTTTATACGGTGTGCTTTGCTGCATATCGAATGCACATCACATTTCGACAGGTTCAAACGGTTCTTCCCTTGAGCAGAACACTAATGTGTTCGGGCCAGTGGCTTTTAGTGGCGACACCATCACCATTAGTTCTAAGAAGCTCAGTCAGTTTACATTAATCACCATGTTGTTACTATTGAGGGCGTTACACCGTTATTAGCTGCGATAAGTGCACACTGGTGCTAGATAAAGCGAAACTTTAAACAATATTTCATGAAAACTTAGGCACAATTTCGCATAAACCAACAGTAAAACAATTCGTTTTTTTATGGTGACTTTATTTAGCTTAAACAAAAACGAAAGGAAATTTGACGCGATTGATAAAGTCCAGCATATTTTCTGTGTGAAAAGCCATGAAGCCAGTTTTTGTAAATAACATTCTTGTAGGCCATTAATATAAGACTTAGTTTCTAGCTTGTACTGAAAATAAAATTTCGTATAAATAACGAAATCGCTCGTTTGTTCTACGGATTCATTCGTTGTTTCCTGCAACGAAATTGATTTGTACATTGTATGATGTTAGTTTCGTTAGAACTGTCACACTCGCTTTTGCTACACCCAACCAGCCAGTGTTGGTTGTGGAGACCGAAAAATGTGTAGTGTGTTAATGAGGATGGGTAAAAATAACTTCATCATTTTAAGGAATAAACATGACAAAAAAGTTAAAAAAGTAGAATGCACTGGCCTAGGGGCCACTGGCGTGCACAGGGTGGGGCAAGGTGGGGCAATAGCCCCACCTTTTATAAATAAGATTTCTGTTTCCACATTTACAAAATTATGATATAAAATAACTTAATTTCTTGATAACTTGATTTGAAGGTAAAATAACTTCATTTCATATTATAAAAGCACTGAAAACCATTTATTGCGTCAAATCCTTTGAGATGATGCCTGAAAATTGCACCACAAAGGTGTATGAAGGGACAAACTTCAATGAAATTTTTTGGTCAAAAAATTGCACCACAGAGGTGCATACAAAAAATTTCTGGTGTTTGGAGAGTTTAAAGAAGAGGGTAAATTTAAGGTTGTTCTGGTGTCAAAATATCATCAAGGTGGTGCATTGAGGGACTTATCAAAATAAATAGCTCTGGTGGAAAAATTGAATCACGCTAAAAATTTGAAGGTGCACATTTAACTGAAAATTTCTGGTGGAAAGTTCGCAACACTGTGGTGAATGTAGAAGTAAGGTTTATTCATTTTTCTGGTGCATAATTTGCATCGTTCTGATGAATGCACGCTTCATTGAAAATTTATGGTGGAAAACTTGCACCATTCTGGTGCATGAAGAGGCAAAGCCTGAAAGTTGCACCACAAAAGTGCATGGTGAAACAAACTTCACTGACAATTTTTGGTGCACCGTTCTGGTGAATGGAGGAGCATGCATTATTGAAAATTTCTGGTGCAAAATTTGCATCGCTCTGATAAAAGAAATGAACAGAAAATTTCTGGTGGAAAACTCGCACTGGTCTGGTAAATGAAGGCACAAGCTTTTTTTTTTAAATTAAGCTAAATTGAAAATTTCTGGTAGAAAATCTGCACCGTTCTGGTGCACAGATGGGCAAGCTTTTCGGAAATTTTTTGGTCTTAAATTTACATCCCTCTGCTGAATAGAGAAACAAATTTTAATAATAATTTCTGGTGTAATTTTTTTTTAATATGATAAAAATAGGGGCAAGCCTGCAACTTTCTGATGATAGGAGAAGCAATCTTTATTGAAACTGTCAGGTGGAAAAAGGAAATCTGCACCAATCAGAAGATTGAAGAAGCAATTTTTATTGAACATTAACGGTGGAAAATTGGCAGCGTTCTGGTCGATTGAAATTTTCTGGTGTGAAATTACCTGAGGGCAAGTTTGTATTAAAAATTTCTGGTGTAAGATTTGCAACAGTCTGCTGCATAGAGGGGCAAGCTGAATTGAAAATTCCTGGTGTAAAAATTGCACAGTTCTGGTGAATGGAAGGGCAAGCTTTATTGAAAATTTCGGATAAAAAAACTACAACGTTTTGATGAATGGACGGACAACTTAAACTTGACTTCCAAGAAGAACCTCAAGGGTATTGAATTCTGAGGACACTTCCAAAAGAAAAGATGTCTGAGGATGATTTGATGAAAATTCTGCGAATACTTTTTAGTGAATCCTGCAGATAGTTCCAAGATAATTTCGAAAAGAATACCGAGAGAATTAAATTTTGAATGAAATTCCAAAGGGATGTTGAGGAAAATTTAAAGGGAATCCCAATGATAATTTCAAGCTCATTCTGGGAAGAATTTCTGGAGAATATAGAGGAAATTCTTCTGAAATTTCCAAGGTGTTCTGAGAAAAAAAAGTTCAAAAATATTCCGATAAGAACCTCAAGGATATTGAGTTTTTAGGACAGTTCCAAAATATTTCTGGAGAGAATTCAAATAAAATTCTGAGGATAATTTCTAGTATATCCTGCAGATAGTTCCAAGATAATTTCGAAAAGAATATCGAGAAAATCAAATTTGGCATGAAATTCCAAAGGGATTTTAAGCAAAATTTCAAGCAAATTCCGAGGATAATTTCCACCTCATCTAGATAATTTATCATCATTCTAGCTTACTTCGTCTAAATCAGTCCCCCAGGAATCTTCAAAAATATTTTCCCGTGAGAAAATATTCAGATAATCCCGAGCAACCTGATTCTCGATAGGACTAGTAAGACCCAAACTGAAATTATGGGAACTCTCGAATTGCTTAGCAAGTTTCTGAGCTTCTTCCAAATTTGTGATCAAAATTTTACCACCGTCTTTAAGCGCTGGAATAGGCTTTTGAGGTTTTTTTCAAATTGTTTGTGAGTTTCCAAAAGGGTTTGGAACTCGGGTCTTATTTAGAAACATTATTTTCAAAAGTTTCGTTCCTCAGGTCAAAGAATCGCTTTTAAATTTGTTTTTGCAAATCCCGCCAGATAACTTTCATGGCAGGATCGCGTGTTTTTTTATATTGTCTCCTACGGACATTTTTAAGACGGATCAAGAGCTGAAGATCGTCGTCTATTATAATTGAATCGAATTTAACCTCGCATTTTGGTACTGAGGCAGCTCTTGCTTCAACTATAGAAGAAGTCAGAGATTCAAGAGCATAATTAATTTCATCTTTGGTTTGCAAAGGAATGTTTGGATCAAAGTTATATTCCATAAATGTTCGATATTGCTCCCAATCAGTTCAATGGTAAATGAAAGTAGAGCTGTTGGGATTACAAATTATTTCTTGGGATATTTCATTGCAGCAAATGTATCATTTCGGTTAAAGCCCTACTATTGCAACCATTTGACGAACCGATCATCATCCTCATTGTCGATAGGACTAAATTGCTAATTCAATTGGCTGACTGAAAGCAGTTTGCATTGCAGAAGATGAACCACCACTGGAGCAAAAAATAAATAAAATTAGCTAAATTGAACAGCAGGGAAACGGTGGTGGGAGGACAGCACCATCCACCACGAACTTTGGAGTACTCCCCATCCCCAAATTAAATGCACCATAGAAAAAAATTGCCCCTCCTTAACAAGATTCCTGTGCACGCTAGTGCTAGGGGCATGAACGGAAGCTTGACGTAGGACCGCTAGTGGACGGAACAAATGTGAAGAGCATTTAGTTCTTTTAATTGATCGATCATCTATTATCTTATCTGGTAAGGCTAAAGGCAAATAAGATGCATAGAACGGTAATTCAATTTTGTTTGCTTTTTTGCTGCTTGCACGTAAGCGCTATTTCGTCGTAATCGCCCATTTCCGTTCTATCGATCAGAAAAGATCAATAATATCAATGATTTCACCGTCCATAAATCAACAATAAGTTTGTTACAATGCTAGGGTTCTCAATAATTCCGGCTTATGCGCCAGACGAAGAAGTCGTCTGCCGAGAATTGCCGATATGTGTGCCCAGCTAGCGGTTTTTCTCAACCCAGCAGATTCCACCCACTAGAGTAACCCAACGACCAAAAACCATCAACGTCCCAAGTCCAATAGTCCAAAAATCCTTTTGACCTAATTTTGTATTCGAATTTTATCTTCCAATTGTTTTTAATTAATTGAGTCAATTGTAAATACGGTGCAAGTGATACAGTTTTATTAAAATCAAGTAATTTACTGAAATTCGATTTAACGGCTAAACTGGTTTTGTCGAATCGGTAGACAAGCCGTTTCAGCAAGTTAGAAGTGATTGATTTATCCCATTGCATTTTTGCCTGGTAGTCTACAAAATTATCTAATAGATTGCACTATGGTCATTTTTTTATTTGAACTACCGACCATGGGACTTTCAAAGGAACATTTATCATTTAAAGTTGGCCATGTCGTGCGATGCATGTTTCGCACCAACCCGATGAAATATAAATAATGTACACTATAAAACATCATATTTATTATCGCAGATTGCATAGAGAAGAGCACTACTTCCACACAGGACCCATTTTCGTCGCCCACCGCCGTGTCTTGGATGTCCCTTAACTTGTTGAGCTGATTTTCCGTTTATGTATAACTAGATTATGGTGAACACTAATCACGTTC